CTCGTCCGCTGCCACCGCGCCGGCAGCCACGGCGTTCGACACCTCCATATCCACCAGCACGTTCTCCACCTTTCCCGACGCGAGGGCCTTGAACACAGTCGCCCACATCTTGCACGTGAGCTATGGCCCGGCCGCTGCCGCGCTGAGCGCCCTCACGCACGCTAACGGCAACGACGAAGATGCGCTCGCCGCTGTCCTCCTCCTCCGCGACGGGCAGGCGACGCAACTCGATCTCTGGCACGGGGAGGCGGAGCGCTTCCCCGTACTGGACCTTGTGCACGGGCCAGTAGTGCGGCGTGGCGGCGAGCCCAGGAACGCGCAGCCCGGCTCCCCGCAGGCACGGCACGTGCGGGTACGCGCTCCCGTGGTCAACAAGGCGCTGCATCGGAGGGCCCGGACGGCACAGGAAGGCAGCGAGCCGCGGCACTCTCTGCTTGTGGAGTTCCCCGGGTGTCTATGGCTTCAATGATTGGTTGGAGACGATGGGAGCCATTAGATGTTAGTTGGACGGCAGGGATAAGAGGAAAGTTGCGTTGTGAATACAGGCACGAAGCAAGACCGAATTTTTTTTGTTTTTTACCTTTTTTTATTCACAAATATGCCCCTGAGGTATACTTTTTAAAATCTGGACCTTTAACTAGGCGCCATCATTGGTGGTTCCGAGTTTACACGTCTTGGCGCCATAAATTTTGGCATCTAGGTCTTGTGACTTTATCTGACTGCCATCCACCCTCCTCGGCGCAAAATCTTGGCGCCAAACTTGGCCATGGTTATTGGCAGATTGATTCGGCGCCGAGAAATAGCGCCAATCTATAACGCCAATCAACCGACGCCAGCCGCACTTCCTCTTCTTTCTCCTCCCTCTCGGGTTTTTTCTCTCCTCACTTCGCCCTACCTCACGAATCGACATATTGGACCTTGGAAACTTTGATTTGATCCGTAGATCTTCGAGAGCAAGATATCATCGCTCCCTCCTAGTTTTTTTTTCAAATCGATTTGGTATATATTAGTTCTCTCACTGATCTGCATACTCAATTGGGATCATCTTTCTTAGGATGATGGGAGAAGAACCAAGGTGAAGTACACCCTCAACTACGATGACATCATCATCAGCTCTATGGCAATGTAGCTCCTCCCGAGCCCTTGCAACCAACTCACTAAATGAAGGCTTCTCATTGAATAACACAGGCACGCTTTGTATCTCAACAAATTCAACATATTCATATCGATCTCTTTCATCTAGTACTTCAAACAAAAATTGAAATACAATTCGTTTAGTCCAAAGTAGCTGCTATATAGTACCTCTTTAATAAATACTAACCAACTACACCCTGAATAACTATGTCACTGACTATCTAGCTATATTTATCTCACAAACTAAATCAACTAGCTATCTAATAACTATATCTATATACCTATGTTACTAGCTATCTAACTATATCTATCTCACTAACTAAATCAACTACATACATCATCAAATTTATTAGAAACTACCGAATAATCAAAATAGCACTACAATTCACTGGACCTTGTTGATTTCTACGGATAAGCCAGGTTGGTGCTTTGGTTTGTTATGGAGAAAAAACAATGCGAGATAAGCACTTGAAACCCCAACAAGCAAGAACGCGCACCTATATTGCATATTCTCCCCAAGAAGTCAATGCAGGCACGCGCGCGTGCGGGTACGCGCTCCAAGATCGACGGCGAGGTCGCGCTTGCGCCGGCCGAGCAGTCAACAAGGCGCGCCATCGGAGGGCCCGGACGGCACAGGAAGGCAGGCCGGGGGCAGCCAAGCCGCGGGGGCACTCTCTGCTTGTGGGTTCTCCGGGTGTCTATGGCTTCCTGCGCTCGCCCGCTCGAGCGGGTTGAGAGAGGAGAGAAAGGAAGGAAGGGCATGTACGAGCCACAACACCAAGCTTAGTTCTCTGTGCTAAGGGTGCGTAGTCACCGCATACGACGGCACGACCTAGGCGTCAAAATCTATGATGTTGAGATGTGTAAGTTCGGCGTCACTAACGATAGCGCCGAGTTAAGGATTCAGATTTTAAAAGCATATATCCAAAGGCATATTTGTGAAAAAAATTCAAAAAAAAATGCTAAAATAACAAAAAAAAATCGGGAAGCTCGATGGCGCACGCCCCACGTTCCGCGGGCAGTCAAGTTGACCCCACCGTAAAAGCCGCGATATGAGAGGAGCAAGAAAATTCTGAGTTCCAAGCACGCTGTGAAGCAGGTTGCCTGACCATCGACACCGAGGCAAAGACGGCCACGGAACCGGCCGCCGTAGGCAATCGCCCATTCGCCCACCGCCGCGACCGCCACCAGCTTCATATCTCCATCACAGCCTCGCGGGCCGGGCAACGCAATTCCGATCAGAAGAGTGGGAGAGGGAGGGAGCGCTCCCCTTCGCCTTTCTCCCCATTGGACGTCGTCTAGCTCGGCGCGGTTGTTGAGGTACGTCTCCTAGATCGCGTTACGAACTCTGACGCTGTTCTTGAGCGCTCTCATTCCCCTCCTCTATCAGCTGGTCCAAAGGATCCCAGCTAAGTTCAGTTGGGCCAGAGGATCACAGGTATTTGATCTTAAAATCTCGGTACTTCTTGCTCAGTTCCTTTCAATCATCGGGATTTCCTACAGTCTTTGCGGGATTCAACGCGGGCACGTCTCTTTGGGCCAGTGTGCTGTTAAGCGCAGGTTGTTAGCGCAGCCAGTACTGAACTGAAACCCCACGGCTCGATCTGGATGGGTACTGCACCACCTGTGGTCTTAATATTTGCGCTTCTCGTAAGAAGCTAGCAAAGAGCAAGTCAGCGCTTAGCTTCTCAGATTAAGGCCTCTCTCTCCTTCGTACTCTTCGTGGGAGGAATCCTTCAATGAAGAGGGATAAGCCAGAAACATTAAAAAGGTCGCGTCCAGCTCTCGCAGTTGTTTGCTCCTGCATGTGTTCTTAACAGCGATAAGATCGACGATGAAGAGATGGCAAGCAACACTATGCCAGATGGTGCAAGTCACGGTGCACGCATAGCCGTAGGCTGAGTTGCATATGCAGGGTGATTATGTAGTTCATGTCCCTTTTATGATTTGTTTGGTACTTTTCCTCAGTTTAACTATCTATTTATTCAATACCTAAACTCATCTCTTTAGCTATTCAATTGTCAAAAAATTAAGTTGCCTAGTAACCTGTAGTTGTAGCTGTAGCTGACCCAAGTACCTGGCCGTAAATTGTAGTTCAAAGGCATTACTTGTTGCTTATATATTCTAAAGGTCCCATGCATGTGAAATTCAGAATAAAGTAACTTATATAGCCTACCCATGATTTTTGAAAGAAACTATGCATTTATGTGAAGCCTCCTAATTTGCTTCAACATGATTAAGTAGTATGCGATATGTGTGCTTCAAATGGTAGAAAGTGAGATGGAGGGGGACTTCAAATGCAATGGCAGTTTGGTCCATTTCTATGTGAAGAAAGACAGAAAAGGTAGCAGAAGTGTCGTTTCATAGATCATTTGGCTAAACCAGTGCTGTTTTGTGAATTCACAAGTTTAAAATTCTATTTCTCGAACACCACAAGAAACTAGTGCCATTTCCTGAATTATCCCAAATTTAACCAAATGCTCACATCAAACTTAAAGATTACCATGTTAGTTAGTACTTCTGCCTATTATGATTTTGCATCAATTACTTCACACAAATTTTATGATTAATTTCAGGATAAGAAGCATTGCATAATTTGAATCCTCAAAGCCGAATATGGATCTCGTACAACTCTTCATCACGGCATGTGTCCCAGTCTTCAACATGCTTCTGGTAACCGGTGTTGGGTCGTTTTTGGCAACCGATTTTGCTGGCATACTAAGCAAAGAAGCAAGAAAACATTTAAACAATGTAAGTAATGTAAAAGGCCGCATGAAAGCAGTAATAATTTTACTAATTGTTCTACAACAAAGAGTTTTAACATATCGTGTCATAATTTATCTTACTAATACAGGCCACGTGCCACAACATCCTTTTTCTAAAATTTTCTATATCTTTTTTATCTTCAGATAGTATTTTATGTATTCAGTCCCTCCCTTGTTGCAATCTATTTGGCAAAAACAATCACCATGGAAAGCTTGGCTAAACTGTGAGTATTCAATAACGGCAATTAAGTGCCTAAGTGCTACTCTGACTATCTGGCATATCCAAGTACTTTTAGTGTACTAATTATAATTGTTAATTAATGAGAAATAAATAAGAGGATTACTTTTGTTCCCTGATTCAGGTGGTTTATGCCGGTAAATATTCTTCTTGCTTTTACCTTTGGTTTATTCTTTGGATGGATTGTGGTAAAAGTTACAAGAGCACCTGCCAAGCTAAAAGGCCTCATTTTGGGTTGTTGTTCTTCTGGTAATTAAATGTACTCATACACATTTTTTTTGCAATTATCAGGAAATAATGATTAAACTTCAAATTTTAGATAAACATAGTGCATAACCTTCAAATGTTTATTGCTATCTCAGATAGGCTATATGCGTGTCTATTTGCTCTAGATTTTGGTGCTTTGTGAAGGAGAAATTATTCTCATGGCTTTAGTTCATATTTGAAGAGAATAGTTCTAGTTCAGGTTGGCTGTGCAGAGCAGAACTTACTTCAGAAATATACATTCTTTACCCACTTTATTCTCTAGTTGATCAGGTTGGCTGTTCCAAAGCTGCTGCAAGTTTAGTTTCACAAATAGTATATTGTACATGTCAACCTTCGTCACAAGAATCTAGGAGCCAAAACGAGCTAGTTTATTACCTTTTCATCAATTCTAACTTTCTAAGGCTCTTTCTCTGAATATTTTATCTTCTCCTATCTATGTAATATTGTAATGCTATGTTGTATTAAGATATTTGACCCTGATTAGATATAGAAATCAACTGGTCATTAACAGCGAAATAGGACGGATTTAGTACAACCCATACTTTGTCCTTTTCTTATCTTTCAAAAACTGTTGTCAACTTGCTTGTTGAATGCAGGCAATTTGGGCAATATTTTTCTCATCATCATTCCAGCTCTTTGCCAAGAGAAGGGAAGCCCATTTGGAGCAGCTGATGTTTGTCAAGATATTGGACTAGCATATTCTTCACTCTCAATGGCTGTAAGTCAATTGCTGCTTTAGTATTTAATATAATTTCCATTTCTTGTAAGCCTGCTTATGCTTGTAATCAGTTGCAAGACTCAGTCACTAACATGAATGGCTTGCTACAGATCGGTGCTGTTTTTGTGTGGTCGACTGCATATAATATTGTTCGTGTCACATCAAATCTGACGGAAGGAGATGACAATGATCAAACAAATGAAACGAAAGTGTTAAATTCAGGAAGTGCTACAGGAACTGTTGTAGAAGAGAACTGCTCCACCTCAAATGATTGCACCGACGAATGTACACTCCCTTTGATATCGACGAGCATATGTCCAGCTAAAGATAAGGTCTGTCGATGCTGAAAGATCTTTCTTTCACAAGTTGCCCTGCTTTTATGTTCTACAGTTTTGCTTGGTTGCTTGTGGCACTATATAAGATTTAAAATTGTGCAGGATTCAATGTTGGAGAGAGCACGGAATGTTTTATCATCAATTTCTGAAGCAGTTGACTTGAAGAAGCTCTTTGCTCCTTCAACCATTGCAGTGGTACACTGGTTTGATGAGCTATTAAATCTATTTTAGTAAAAAGTTTCTTATTTTTTAACTGAAACCCGATGGTAATTGCTGCGATCACAACTATATTCCCAAGATATCTTTGCAACCTTGAAATCGCAAAAGAAGGCCATTTTATATGATCACTTGTCTCTACCGCTTTCAACATAATTTGAGACAATCTATGGACCTTGTGTAGATTGTCGGCTTCATAATTGGAGGAATACCTCTGATTAGAAATGCTATAATTGGCGACAGCGCCCCACTTCGTGTCCTGCAAGAATCGTCTGAATTGATAGGGTATATATAGTCCTACACTTTCTTAACTTTGTGAACATACTTGGTCCTCTTGATCAGTTAATTTTGTCATCCTTTTTGTCAATCATGTTGTTGTTTTGATGTTGACTATTACCCCTTACCTCCTAGTTAGTTTGCATATGTAACCATTTTCATGGGTACTCATGTCCTGTACAGTGGAGGAGCAATTCCGTCCATCGCATTGATAATGGGAGCAAACCTTCTGAACGGTAACATTTTTATTACTTCTGAATGATAACTTTTGCTTTGCTCTGACCGCAAACAACAGTATCATGAATGCATACAACGTTGTGTCATCTTTAACCGTCATATTATGACAAAGCAGAACACATAAATCTAATCTGATTAGCACAAGCAAGCATGATGTGTGAAACTCTTATTACCAGGAGTACGAGGAGGCGCAAGTGTTCCACCGTCGGTGATAGCCGGCGTCATAGTTGTCAGATACATTCTGCTCCCGCTGCTCGGCACGGCGCTGGTGAAGGGAGCCGTCCGGCTGGGCCTCATCCAGCCAGATCCTCTGTACCAGTTCATCCTCCATCTGCAGTACGCCGTGCCACCCGCGATGAACATCGGTAATATGATGATGGAACATAGCAGTCATTTTATTTTCGCAGTTATTATGCGTGTTGGAGATGAGAAAAAACTGTCGTCGTAGCAAGTGAAGTGGATGCTGTATATATTTTTTTTTTCAGGGACTATAATGCAGCTGTTTGGCGTCGGGGAGAGCGAGTGCTCGGTGATCTTCGTGTGGGTGTACGCGCTCGCCTCCGTCGCCGTCACCATCTGGTCCGCCTTCTTCATGTGGACGCTGTCGTGAGCTCTCGCGTCAGAACACGGCAAGGCCGGAAATGTTGAGCTAGCCGATCTTGATTGCCGAACCAAAACTGCCAACCACAACAGGATGATCTTAGACAACGTGAACCGATCATCTTCGGCCGCAGCGCTGGAGCATGCGTCCCTCTGGGCCTGTCGAGCTTTGCGAGACTGAGACGCGTTGATACTTTCCATCCCTCACCCACTCGCCCCTCCTCGGATCAAATTCTGACACGCCGTGCTTGTGCCCCCCTTAAAAAGGCTTGCCCTCCGGACACCCCGTTTGTTTTTTATGCAATTGATTGAATGAAAATCAGCCGTTGCCTAATAAACGAAAAAAACTGCCTGTCGCTTCGCGCGTTTCTCGGTTTGAAGTATGGCGCCGATGGCAACATCTACATCCACCGCAGCGCGCGTGGCAGGACCGCAAGGCCGCGCCGTGATCTCTGTCCATCGCACCGGGCACGGCAGGTCGGCAGTGGCGGAGTGCCTCCGCGTCTGGACAAAACATGCCCGTGCCGTCCCGTACCGGCTCCACCATGCTTGCGCCCCGGCCGCCCGGGAACGTGACGCAGAACGCGGCTCGCGTTTGCGGTTTGCCTCTACGTGAGAATGGCGGCCCAGCCCAATACCCTCCTGTTTTCTTTGTTTCTATTTTTTGCACGGGGGAGTACGGGACGGCCGGACGGACAGGAACAGCCGGCGCGAGTCGGACTCGGACACTGGCCGCGCGTGCTGCCGGCCAGCACGTCGTGCCCTCTGCATCGCGCCGGAACAGGCAGTGAGCGTGCGTCATGATTCATGACGTGAAGTCATCACTGCCGATCGCTTCGAATTTCTGATCCGTGACGTACGCCCGCTCAGCTCTCGTCTCGCCCATCCCTGCCTTTTTTTTTCCTCACAGCTGAACAGCCAAACGATGCCCGGCCTGTAGTTTTAGCAAAAAAAACCTCGCCGCTTTCTCGGAGGCACAACACCGATCATGATCAACACGCTGATCCGGGCTGCCGACTGCACAACGGACGCGGACGGACCCATCTTTATTTTCTCCGAACCAAACCTCCGACACCAACAAGCAAGCAAACAGAGAGTGGCGCATGAGCATGACCGAGGACAAGAGATTTCTGATAACAGATGGATAGGACTTTCTCACACAAAACTAATCGGATTATTACGGGCTGCCCCCACCACTTTCACGTTTACGATCGAAATAAACGAGCCCGATTGCTCCACGGGCTGCCCCCACCACTTTCACCGCATTCATCGTCGTCTCCGCCGGGCCCCGGGGCGGCCGGCGGACGACGGACTTCAACCCGCTCCAGGTCCAGGCACGGGGATGACCTTCTCTCTCCCCTCTTTACTCGAGTCTTACTTTTACTCTAGCGCCCGGACCAGGGCTACCCCACGACGGACACACCACCTCAACGCCAAATGGCGGACGTCGGAACACAAGGCCGCCTTGGATCTTCAGGTTCCTGATGCAGGTTTAAATGCCTGGCCGTGCTCATTTAAGCCACAACCAAGCTTGTTACAGTGGCTGCCAAAAGGAAATTTTCAACAAGACACAACAACCACAAAACGCGGCAATTATAGTTACAGAGCAGTAGGAACGGCAATTACAGTTTTCGGATGGGCATTCACGTTGCAACATCTGATCTGCACATCTTCTGCAATGGCAAGGCTCCCTCCGCAGGCAAGCAAACACGTGTAGCGTGAAATTTCTCTTTCCCGCACCATCCTTTTTTGCGTGTTCAAAGGAAAGAAAGCAAATTGTAGGGAGTTGATGGCTATACTATACAAGAATAGGCTGCTGAGATACAAAGCCATCATAGCCAACTATTCTGAAAGAAGAATGCGTGCAATTTCGTTGTTTAGGTGAAGGGGAGGTCACATGGTGAGCCCTGCCTCCTCCACTGCCTTTCCCCTTTTCTTTTTCTGTCAGTTATCATGCGCTCGTTTTCCCCCCTTGTGATTTGACACACATTGGCCTATACTTTAAAGAGTGATGTGTTGGAGGTTTGATTTTTTTCTCTCTCTCTACAATTATATATATTTATTACATCGATCGAGTGAAACATTTCCACGTAGGAGTACCTTATTTTTTATTTCTCTGAAATTGACAAGCCACTTGGCTCCATCTACAGAATGCACCAATATTCTGCTAACTACAAAGAGCAATTCTGTACCAGTTCTTTAATTCAACACAGTTTCCAAACCTATCAGGGCCAATATCTTTCCAAGCGTGCACTGGGTTTTGTCAATTTCAGTAAGCATAAGTTCCCAACAAACAAAGAACTCTGCCTAACTGGAGGAAATGCTGCAGTACCTAATTTTTCATGTGCATGCCCCCTAGACACTCCGGTTTTCTCTCGCTGAGGGAACCCAAAAAAAATCAGGCTAAAAAACATGAGAAACTCTAGTAGTAGTCAATACAAAGCGGCCAAATTTCCTCCAACTTTTCCCAGCTCTCTCCAACCAATAATTGGCTCACAAGGCAACCGCAGCAGCAGCACTGCACAGTGGAGAGGGTCGGGAGCCAGAGGCCACATAGCCATCGTCAGTTCACACTGTCGTGTCTCAAATAGGCTGTTAAAATAGAATAACACAAAAAGATTCCATCATCATCTACTAAAGCAGATATTTCGTTGAGAAATTGTGGCTGTATTTCGTTCTTATCTCCCCTCTCTGTGTCAGTCACACGCATGCGCCGCTCGAGGTATGGAAATTGCGAGGCTTCACTTTTGACAAAGATTTCTTTCTTTCTTCTTTGTTCTCCCTAAAGGATAAGCTTGCACCCACTAGCTAGTAGTAGTACAAAGAGGCAGAGAGTCTGAACGTCAAGGTACACGAAAATAGACGGCTTGCTTGGTTTGTTTGAAACTTTGAATACAGAAAAGGAGAAAAAGATGGCATGCCATCATGAAATAGGAAGCCGGCGACAGTGCACTTATATGATTATATTCAGCTATATAGGTGCACGCAAACATCACGGTATGCAATTATTGCACGCTTGTACTAAAGATTTATGCCAAATCTAAATCAATAAAACTGGTGATGCTTATTTTTGTCAAAGATACTTGATGCTTTAGACAGAGCATGGTCCCAATATCCATATTAGAATATAATATACATTTGTAGAGCCTAATAAATTGTGAAAAATACTTTCCTGTATTTTATGTTTTAAAAATAAAATATTTGAAAGTTATTAGAAGTTTAATCAGATTTGTCAAAAAAAAATCAAGTGGTATCTAGCTATCCGCGAGGGATGAGGGAAACCAAACCTCGTAGCAGCCACAATATATTCTCCTTTTCTTCAAAAAAAAAACAATATGTTCTCCTGTATACAGGTAAGTACTGTAACTGTTGCGTATATTCTCCTTTCACTTCACCAGAAAGCTGGTCAGTATATTCCTGCTGGTTCCAGAGACGGATGCCACGTATACGTAGTACAGCGTACAGATGCAGCCAATAATTTCCTTCTTTTCTCACGCCTTTCCTCCCATTTATAAATCAATCGGTTTTCTTCTTTTTGGCTTGGTGCAATTAATACTTGCGACGTGTGAGCTCAGCTGAAGTAGCTGCTTCCCACTGTCCAGGTTCAGCCGTTCAGGCTGTCATAATTGACGAGCTCCACAAATTCAACGAAATAGTTTAGTAAAATCCTTTCTTCCCTATTCTTTCCACTTAACCAGGAACTAAACAAGTCATGGTATTCTTTCCACACTACATTGCTATCACACACAAGAACGCTAATCCAATTTGGCTTAAGCTAGACAATAATGCCATGGTATAGTGGTATAGCCTAAAATTTTAGGTTACATAAATATTCAGAGTTTCGTGGATAAATTTTGTATGGAGAATAACTAATCAAGATTGGTTTTCTTTATTGCCTCTTTCACTTTCTAACACAATACCCATTTAGATACACTTTAATCTCTGTCTGTTTGTGATAAATTTACCATTTTTTTTTTTGTATGTGTTTGTATTCTTGCATTGCATCTATGTGGGTTTTTAATATGTATTAAGTTGAAATCTTAGGTTAAGTTATATTAACTCTTGTTGCAATCCTTTTTGTGACATCATGAATCTATATTTTGGCTTCAACTTATGATCTTACTAGTTGTTCCAAATTTTTTATCTATCCTAGTACTTATTGTATTTTTTTCTTTTTCTTTTATGTTTTAGTAAAAGTTGGATTCTAAGTCCTAGATTAATCCACTCTTAATTATTGCAGTGGCATAAACAAATCCTTTCATCCTACACCGCAACGCTCAATAAGATGTTGAATCCCTCTATCAAAGAATTGTATTTCTAGCCGTACCATTTTATAAAAAATAGAGTGTTTAAATTAAACTACTAACATTGATAATCATAATTTATCTCAAGTAACAACTTAAAAATATTGACATATAATTTTAATATAATTTAAAATGGTTGTCATTGTCATTGGTAATATGGTGTGTGAAGAGAATATTTTTTCTTGCGGTCAATAAACTATAAAATTATATTTATCAGAAATAAATGCAAGTATACTTGGTATACATAGTAAGACATAACATTTTATGTTTACTTTGAATTTAATGATGGTAGAACTAGATAATTTAGAAACTACTTATGGTTATTTAAGTCTTTCATATTAGACATTGGTAATTTAGACGTAGATTTAAGGGATATTTTATTTTACATTTATAATGACATATGCGAGTAATTCAAATGTTAATTAAAGGGGCGACTTTATATTATCTTTCGTAACAACATAGATGGGTACTTTAAAAGGCAAATTTAGGGATTACTTTAAATTATCTTTAATGGTGGCAGTTGTTGGTAGTTTAGATGCAGATTAAGAGGGTTCTTTATGTTTTCATAGTGGTAAAGTATTTTTTTTAAAGGGATCCAATGTCTATTGTTGGTGATGATGATTAGAGTCAATCGAAATAATGGTTAGATGTTTCTGATTATTAAGATAAATTTTCATATAGCAGAGCTTGGTATTTTTTAGAAAACATAGAGATCCGGTGGCTATTACTGGTAATGATTGATGCAAGATGTTCCTATTCGTGTACAAATTTACATAAATCTACTAGAATTTATTAAAAACAAAGAGTACATAGGGTCTTACAACACGGAACAAAAAAAAGAGACAAAGAACAGTTATATTTCTATTGCAAGGTTTATACCCAAATTATTCCGTGCCGCCAGCTACAAATCTTGGTCTCACCTTCACTTTGTTTGGGCTTTCTCCCCAATTTTAATAAAACCTTGCATCAAATTAGCACGTCTGGACGGCAATACAAGCCGCATGCTAAATCACAAATCGCATGACAAAAGGTGATTAGATTAGATAAAAGAAGCCAAGCGAGAGCGATAAGGACGATGCAAGCGACACGTGCTGGACAAGTTAACGCCACGGCTTATAAGCCGTATTTTTTTAGCCAACGAACAATATTTTTTTCTCATAATAAATTAGACAATAGTACTTTCAGCTATGACTTATCAGCCAAGCGAACATGACAAAGTTAAATGTGTCCAATTGCAGTATAACAATAAATAAAGTGAAAAACTTTAATCGATTTTGCAGGCTAATTCTTGGCATACACTCATCGCTCAAGCGTACTAGCTGCGTAGGGCACTCGTCTTCTCTAGTGCATCATTTTCATTTCCCAGTTTTTAAAGCTAATTATTAGTTTATTTCTTTCAAAGTGACCGCAATTATTTCAGAGGACCACGCGTAAACGGAAGAAATTCATGCGAATGCAAGCTTTGCCGTGAAGGATCAAGCAGGGCCCGGGACAAAGAAAAAAGGCTCAAATTTTAACCTGGGGCCCACACGTACGTTTGTTCTAGTGTATAATACGTACTCCTACTGTTTTTGTCAAAATCGTTTGGAATAAAAATGATGCTTGTTAAGATGCCGTGTCCGGTTTCGATTCTGTTTCTGCTCCAAATCCGATTTTGCTGACTGGCCGGTTCGGTGGTTCTGGTGCCGACTTTTTGATGTTTTGTGTCACCTAACAGAAAACAAAGGCTCCGGCCTCCGGCAGCAGAATTTCCTGGTACAGAGTACCAAATCCCGTGAAATCTGTTAATCAATTCTTCATCTAGCTTGTAAGTAGGGCTAATTAGTGCTGTATTAAATTGATGGATCGCGCGAATGGTCGGGTCCCAATGAGGGGCATATGAGAAATCTCACAATTTGATGAGTAGCAGTAGTACGATTTTGCTACGTGCTTTAAAATTTCTGTATATTTTTAAATGGGAAACCCCATGTCAAACAGGTTTAGTTTTCTTATGTGAAAAATATGCTCATGATATAATTTTTTTATATAATATTGAAAAATTGTTTGCAAGAGAAACTATTTTTCATAAATGTTAAAATAGGTAACATCCAGCTAAAAATACAATTGACAACATAAAATAAAGCTTAGGGCATACAAAAAAAATATCCTGAATTCCGAAATTTCCACGCATTAAAAAGATATTGAGAAGTAATTCTACCTTTGTTAGAGATAATCTACATCATTCTTTCATTAAAAATGAATTTAAGTTTAGCTTGCTTGAGAAACTCAAATTCTTTTTGGCATGAGCTCTAGAGCGTGTTCGGCTGGCCATATCTGGCTGGCTGAATGCCTTTTTTTTTTAACCGGAGCAGTGTTTTTCTCTCACAAAAACCAGCTACTACAGTAAAAAAAAACCATCTGCTACAGTGCGATTTAATGCCAGCCGAGCAAGCTCGACTCTGGTCAAACGGAAACATGGTCCTTTAATTTCTTTTCCGATTTTGCATGCCAGTTGTCATGTGGTTGGAAATGGTCATGGTTAGGTCCATGTGCACAGTGTAAACACACAGACAGTGCAAAAGATAAGAAATGCAGAAGCAGATAAAGCCAAAAGCATAGGAGGCCACAAAGTAATAAATAAAATAAGCATAGGGGGTCAAATAAGGTAGACCCTTACCAATGCAATCCTGACGTGCTTCACTTACCCGCCTATTTTCTTATTCCCGACTAAAACCCTTTTCTTTTCACAAAAGATTACGTGCGAAGAGGGGAGCTCGGAAAAGGAAAAGAAAAAAAAAGAAAGAAAGAAAAATGGAGGTAGAAGAAGGCTGTGTGATGTGAGGGGAAATTACGTGGGACATATAAGCTGATTTCTCTCATCAGCTGCTTGAGCTGAGTTGTTTTGAGTGGCCTGCGAGGACTCTTGAACTCCGAGCTCTGTGCCTTGCTATTCCTGACTATTTTCTTGCCTTTTGTCTCCATTTTCCTAGTGCTATCCTAATTTCTGAAATCTGAAGACCTCTTGGAGGAATTCTCTGCTTCATTTCGCCGGCAGGTAATCTCTAATTTCTCTGCTTTATTTGCCAAATCCTTACCTTCTCCATTGTTTTCTCTCTCTCTCTCTTTTATTGTGATTTACGGCTTCTTCCTCCCATTTTCGTTTTCCATTCCTCCTCGTTTCTTCCCCGCCGTTACAAGCTGCTGCCACCCTACGCTGTAAAACTTGCTCTGTTCATCCTACGCTGTAAAACTCGCTCTGTTCACCGTCAAATTTTCCTGCTTTGAGCAGCACGGGGTTTATGATTTTTGCAGTTCCTAGCTTCCTTCGCCGGTTGTAAGATTTGCTGTGAAGCAGAAGAGCTGCAACCTTCAGTACAAGAAATCGCTGGAAGAGAGAGCTGCAGATTCGTAGCCGCTTCTGTTTCCGCACACTTGTTCAGTGTGGAATGATGGAGGTGAGCCCGTCTCCGGAGCAAGGAGTGATGGCGGGAAGGGAGCCGTTCGGGCTGCCGAAGACCCCGGCGACGCCGCCGTCCTCCGGGGGCACGCAGAGCCTGCGCATGGCGTACACGACGGACGGCACCGCCATCTTCACCCCGGTGAGCTCCGTGCCGCCCGCGACGGCGACGTACCAGCCCGTGGCTGTTTCAAGCTTGGCTGGCGTGGGAGGCAATGGTGGCGCGCCGGTGCACCCGGGCGGCGCGGGTGAGCCGGTGGCCAAGAAGAAGCGTGGTCGGCCAAGAAAGTACGGCCCCGACGGCTCCATATCGCTGGCATTGGTGCCCGCATCCATGGCTGCAGCGCCGGCGCCGGCACCGGCGCCGCCGGCTCCGGCACCGGCGCCGCCGGCTCCTGGTGCTTCCGGTCCTTTCTCGCCTAACGGCCCGAAGACGCCGAACACCGCGCCGTCAGCGTCGCCGGACGGCGCGAAGAAGCGGGGCCGGCCGAAGGGCTCCACCAACAAGAAGCACGTGCCTGCTCTTGGTAATATTGGTGCATCCTCATCCGAGACCGTTTTTTTTTCTTTGCTTTCTTATTTTATGATGAAGCTCAAGAACCGGGAGGGCCAATTTACATCTTGTTTCTTGCATTTTTTTTTGTCACAACAAATTATAAAATACGGCCTGGAGTCTGGACTTGCTCAGAATTGCTGGTTGGCTTTTGATTAGCAGCCTGTTCGGCTGCCTGTAAACGATCGTGGATTATTTACTGCTGGTTGGTTTGGCTGGTTTGGTGTGAGAGAAAAATATTGTTCCAGCTTATAATCCACGATCGTTTACGACCGTATAATCTCAGCCGAACAGGCCGTAGATCTGAGGTGATGGACTGCAAGAGTGGTGTCAGTAATTAGTACTTTGCAACCTTCTTTAAGAAAGAAGAAACCTCTCTTTAGTTTGCATGTAGGATATATAGACCATTTTAATTGAATCACTCTGCAATTTCTGTCGGAATGTCTAGCTAAGGATAGACCATTATTGAAGTAGTATGAAATACTCCAATCAGTTTAGTAACTGAACTTTCAAGACTCCAGGTTTCGTCCTAGCATGGAAACGCATGATGTTCAAAATGTGAGACCTCCAGTTTACATGTGTTGGATTTGCTGTTGATTCGAGTATGTTTTGCAGGGCCAACAGGGGCAGGTTTTACACCTCATCTTATTTTTGTAAAAGCCGGAGAGGTATAGCTAATCCTGGATTCTTTTCATATATTTGCATGACATTTGTCTGTAAATTATTCAGTTGAGTTTTTTTGTTAAATCAAGTCAGGTTTAACATTACTAGTAAAGATACCATCTTTCTGATTCAGCTGTCATCCATGGAACTCTTAGTTTGCATAAAGCTATTAATTGTAGTGCATTAGTGGTGCCTTTTTCATTTTACTGAATTGTAAGGCTTACTTTGAGCACTTAATAAAGCAGGACATATCATATTCTAGTTCATTGGATATGTGAGAAAAATGTAGTCATATGCTCGGCTTCCATACCTGCAGAACTTGTGTTACCAGAATGCTAAGTCTCCCACTGTAACCTGGTATTGAGGCTTAAGCTTAACTCCATACAACTCACTGGTATGCTTAAGTTAACAGAAAGCCAGTGCAGTATTAACAACTTACCGGCTTGGTTACCACTCACTAGCTTGTTTATTATTATAAGTTCCATTGGACATCTGTCTGTTATTTCCCCCAAAGTATCAGCATTCAGGATGGTTAGGCTTCTTATCTCTTGAGAGCCTTAGAGGAGAGGTTGCATTTTTATAACCTTTATATCAGTTCACTGCTGTAAATGGCTTGGATTTTTTTTTTTTGCTTTCCAGGACGTATCGGCAAAGATCATGTCGTTCTCTCAGCACGGGACACGCGCGGTTTGCATCCTTTCAGCAAATGGCGCCATATCAAATGTGACGCTTCGGCAATCTGCTACTTCTGGTGGAACGGTGACATACGAGGTTCGCATTGTTTTCTCAGAAGTTATCAGTAGACTTGATACAAATAGCTCGAGTACTTTGCGGCAAAGGATCAATTCAGAAGAGTGATCTTATTGATATACCGGAGTCTTTTTATGAGTTATCACTGTTGCTGGTATTTGTACTGCGTAGTAGGTGATGATGAAAACTGAAATCTTGTTTCCTGAATTCCTGAACAGGGTCGTTTCGAGATACTGTCTCTGTCCGGGTCGTTTCTTCTGTCAGAGAATGGTGGCCATCGCAGTCGAACTGGTGGGCTCAGCGTTTCGCTAGCAGGCCCTGATGGCCGTGTCCTGGGCGGTAGTGTTGCCGGACTTCTGACAGCTGCTTCACCAGTACAGGTGTGCCACCTCTCTCATTCATCAATCGTCTGATGAGTAGATTTCGGCTTCATTGAGGGCTGCTTTTATACATGTATCTCTAAGGGCGTCCCCAACGGCATCTCAAATATCTAGCGAAATGAATTTTTTATACTACATTTGGGAGAGAGATAGTAAGTGAACTCGCTAGCGCCGAGCAAATCGCCATGCTCGCATGCCCCATAAAATCTGTGTCCGTCTCTCTCCTCTTCATATGTTTTGCAAGTCTGTATTTCTCTTTTTTTATTCTATCTTGTGTGCATGTCGCTGGCGATTTGCTGCAGCCACGCCCTAATAACCGTTGCTCTCTGGATCCTGCTGAAATCTGTACTGCAAGTTTCCTATCGACGCCATTGTCTTCCTCCGATTGCACAGTGATCATTGACCATTGTTATCTGTACTGCACAGATCGTAGTGGGGAGCTTCGACGCCGAAGGAAAGAAGGAGCCGAAGCAGCAGAAGCTTGCTCCGTCACCGTCAGACCCATCACCGGCGCCACTAAAGCTCGCGCCGATGACGACGGGCGTGGCGGCAGGGACAAGCAGCCCGCCGTCGAGAGGGACATTGAGCCTGAGCGAATCATCCGGCGGCGCACCAAGCCCGCCGCACGCAGGGGCCAGCGGCGGCGGCGGCGGCCATGGGCAGCAGCAGCAGCCAGGGGGCTTCTCCGGCCTGTCCTGGAAATGACCAGATCCCGGATACCGTCTGACCGTGGTAGAACTGGCAGAAAGAAGAGTGTTTCAGCAGTGATGCGTGAAGCACTGAAGGCCGAAAGCTCGCTCAGGGAGGGAGAAGCAGCAGCAGTAGCTTGTAGGTGGTGTGTCAAGACTCTGTAGCTCTTGCTGTAGGTGTTAATCGTGCATTGTTAGGTGGTTACTTTGTCGGTCGTCTGGAATGGATGCCGTGTACTGAACCTGTCTGTGGTGTGCCCCTATTCCCCTAGTGAAATTTTTGTATTTTGGTCTCTTTTGAAAACAATTTTTAGAAAAATACCTACGCCAAAACATTTTCTGAAAATAGACCATTTTTAGGCGTTTTAGGACATGACGCCTAGATATGAGGCTCGGCGTCGTGTCACTCAACGCCGAGGTATTGCCACGTCACGGACGACCGGGGTCGTCGTCGACACGGTGGCGCGTGGGTCCGAGATGTCGGCGTCGTGTCAGCCGACGCCAAGTGCCCAACCTCGGCGCGGCTAGACTGCGCGCCGAGATAATGGACCCACCCGGAGCGGCCCAACAAAGCACGGTGGCCCAGAAGCTCGGCGTTGGGTCACTTAACGCCGAGCCTCCAGACCTCGGCGTGGCCCGACTCAACGCCGAGGTCTGGTCCCTTTAGGCTGAGGCCCCCTACTTGTATTTGGTTCATTCACGAGCGATGTCGTGTAGCCCTGGACTTTTTTTTACTATGTTGTAATGCACTCTGCTTTTATTTCAGATGAACTTATTCCCTGGACTTTTTTATTATGTTGTAATGCACTATGATTTTATTTCAGATGGTCTTATGCCCTGTACTTCGTTAACTATCCTAAGACTGTAGTGGTACTGTTTGTATCACTGAAAAGACTACTTGTGTTGTTGCAGTCATTGAAAGGGCTACAAGTACTGTTGCAGTCACTGAAAGGGCTACAAGTCTATTAGAAAACTCACTGAAAAGCCTAGATTCGTTTACTGTTGTATCCGTATACGCAATGAATTAATATCAGAGTGATGTACTGCATTTAAAATAAGTGACAAAACACAGGTGTAGCCTTTTCAGATGAAATGATCAGTCATGGTTGTAGGCTTTTCAGATGAAGCATCTAGCCTTTGCAGATTCAATAAATGAGTACGCACACATGTTTTTTGTCAAGTAGCATTCATGGTGAACCTGCCTTTATCTCTATATATAGTGCTCCATGTCTTGCTCCACATCCACACAACTTGTTTTCTGGTTTGGTTTTAGCAAATGTCTAGCGGAGGTTCCTCGAGTGAAAAGGGTTTCGACGGAGGGAGAGGAAAGGGGGTGAGGAAGGAACCTCCGATTGTGTGGGAGGGTTCTCTGGGTCCTGATTCTTTTGAAGAACCAATAGAGGAATTTCCTTTGGAGAGGAAGAGTGACTTCACCTGTGAGAGACCTCTTAGATCATACGAGAAGCGTATTGAAGATTGGCCAAAATGCGGCCACGATTTGGATTGTGTTGTGCAGATGTACAACGACTATGACGGTGGAGGCCGTCGTTTCTTCAGATGCCCGCGAGGATTTGTATTGCCTTTGAACTCTCTCCTTTTTTAGATTTGCATTTGATTTCTAGTAATACTTATTGGTAGATGGGTTTTTAGGATTCAAGCTGTCCAGATAACTGTGGCTTCACTAGATGGGTCGACCCTCCTCCTATCTATCCCCATCAACAAGACATCACATATCTACTGAGGGCGATCTTTGACCTAGAGTATGGCCCTGTAAGTGGTAACAGGACAAGTCGGACGACGACAACAACAACAATGATGCAGAGAGGAGGCACTATGCAATAATCCGTGATCATGAAAGTCCGTATACCATAAGAAGGACGGGCCTCCTTCTCCACCACCACCGCCACCACCACCGCCTCCGTCAACCTGGAGGATACTATGGGGAAGGCGCAACTCGATTCAATATGTGGGAGCATTATTAGGACCAACCTTTGTTAGTCAATCTGAATGTGGAATGCTTGTATGAGTTGTTCTTTTCAATCTCGTAAGGCATGCTAGGTTTAGTTTGCAACATGCCATTGTTAGTTTTCATGTGAGTGTGTACCCTTTGCAATGTCTCAGATCACTTGTTTCTTTCAATCCCCTAAGGCATGCTAGGTTTAGTTTGCGACATGCCATTGTTAGTTTTGATGTGAGTGTAATCGTTGTGCATTCGCTATTTCATAAATTGCGCTTTACCTACCTCTAAGTTTCATGTACTATGGTTGATTCCCAAACCTGAAAAAGATTTGAGTCTCTCTAAAAATAGGGGATTGAAATCGAACCAACATTCGGTTTTTCCTGCAGAACAAACATACAAACATAAATATAGCATGTCTACTCTTATTAGTATAACTCGTGTTAGTCGAAGATGAATCGTTGAGAAAGATTTTTCATTTGAATCATGCAACTAGGATTGCAACATATACCAAAATGGTTGAGGCTCGGCGTTGAGTCGGCCCACGCCGAATTCTAGGGTTTGGCTCGGCCGTTTGCGAGTTGGGCCGAGGCTCGGCGTCGAAGTCGGCCCACGCCAACCCTAGGGTTTGGCAACGGCCGTGTAGCTAGGTTTGGGCGAACCTCGGCGCTCGTCCCCCACGCCGAGGTTAATGGCTCGGCATCAATTTATCGAACGCCGAGCTTGCGCACCTCGGCGCTTCGATGCAAGGGTTTCTAGTATGTACCAGGGGTCGGCGTCAAATGACTAAACGCCGAGCTTGGGCACCTCGGCGCTTCGATGCAAGGGTTTCAGATGTACCGTGGGTCGGCGTGAAATGACTAAACGCCGAGCTCCTGGGTTCACCAAAATATATCATCTCTTCTTTGATGCTTCACTATTGCCCACTACTCTAATCAGCCGACGATGACCTTGTGCCAACAATGGACCCGAGCTCGCTAGCTCCCGACTCTCTCCGCCGCTTCGTCCCCTTTATGCGTGCTTGCCATGTCACCGTGGATCCAACAGAGGTTGATCGTAACATGGAGGATGGGGATGATGACACCCTTCTTCCTTGTGAGTTGCGACGGAGGCCCTCTCTTAATAGCCGGAAACATGAAACATGGTGACGTTCCCACACATTCACATAACACATGACCACACCGACATACACATTCATTCAACATCCGTATATACATAAGGTCCAACACATTCAACATCCAACATAGTCCAACACATTCAACATCCAACATAGTCCATACATATGCTTCATCAATCAATGACATAGTCCAAACATAGTACAAGGTCCAATGCATACATAGTCCATGCACAAAATATAGCATATGAAGTCTTTGGATCTTTTATCGCCCCTTGTACCTTAACGTGGACGGTGAGCGTAACGCTTTCCCTCCCAAACGGATAGGTACCGGAGTGTACTGCCCATCGGTCTGAAGCGCCCTCTCATGGGCGCCCAAAACCGGAGGGGCCTTTGAGTTCCTTGGGGTGCATCTCCAAGCCGGGACATGCCAATCTCATCATACTCATGATCATAGTACTCTCCCGCCCTCCTTCATCATCATAATGACCATGTCCTTGACCACCCTCTCGCACTAGTTGTTTGCACCATGTGAAGAAGAAGTCCTGCCACCATGTGCACCATGTGAAGATGAAGTCCCTCCAACATGTGCAGAGAAGGTCCAAAGACCAAGTCGTTGTGGGACCGCCACATCCGAGGAACGTCTACATCCAAGGCGTGCAGCTACCTTTCGGAGGCGATGCATGGCACAATCGTATTTTGAAAGCACTATTAGTAAGTGGGGTTGGTCGCAAAACTATATAAAGATGTAACATCAACTGAATGAGAGGAGACTACCTGAATGTGCTGTCGTAACATGGAGGCCTCATCAGGATCACCCATAGGAATCATCAATGCCCTTCCTTGCTCGGCCACTGTCCTCATTATCTCCATGCTCTATGCAACAAAAACAAGAATTTAAGTCTCCATCACAATAAAGACCTCAACGATGGAAATAGTTGTATCACTTACAGCTCTGGCTAACGCAGGGGTGATCTCAACTTGCCTGCCTTCTCGGGTAGCTTGGTCATATGGGTTGTTGCCCTCATCCTCGCTCGCAATGTCAGCAATGTCTTGCTCCGTCCAAGCGGGCCTCAATTGAAGCCTTGTTCGTTGACCAAACCAAACAAGGTAATCATCGAATGCCTTGTCACGATGGACGGCGTGGATGCCCATGTTGTTCTGCTCCATCAACATCCACTCATCAATGTAGCGCTGGTGCTCCAGCTGCCAGTTGGTGATCTTCTTATTTTTTTGTCTGTTGAACCTGCAAATTTTACACCAAATCGGCAATATGAAGGCCTACTCAATGATTCATTCATGTGAAACGAATAAAATATTGCATGTTACGTACTTGTGGAGCTGCCAACCGGTGGAGAAATCATCGGGCGGAGAAGGTTGTAGCCTACCAAACTGCCGTGCTACACGGTGAGGGAGATGGTACTCCACTGCATAGAAACAAATAAGGGGGGTCCTCATCGTCTAGACGTCCTCGTCTGCCATGCACAAGGCGCTCAAGTTGAGATCCGTGACTTGCCTCCACCGATATGGGCGCCATTGAACCTGTACACAACGTCGTCATCAACTAGTCGACGCTCAATTTGTGCACATATCCTCGATTAGGCCAAAAGGGTGGGAAACTTACATGCTGTGGCAAAAGGGTGTCCAGCTCGTTGGTGAAGCTGATGTACGCGTGGCGTGACACGTGGTATGTTCCGTGGGCTCGCTTGTAGAGGTGTGCCACGGTAGGGGTGACAACTGCGTCTCCTTGAGGAAACCAAGGTTGTGGGGGATCAAGCTGATGCGGTCTCCCAACTGGAAGCCTCTCCCACATCCAAATCTGCAAAAAAAGAGTGGAAACATGAATGTTAATCACTTTTGTTAAGAAAAAACATTGAATTGTAGTGGAAACTTGTACAACTTTGCTTTATTACTCACAATACAAGTGATGCACCCCGACATTGTA